AAAATCTTAATTTGCCATCCGCTTTCTTTACGAATAGGATAGGGGACGCGAAGGGGCTGTTGCTGTTGATATGAAGCTTTTCTCTAGGTTCTCTAACAGGTATTGCTTGGTAGCCTTAAGCTCTTCGGTGCCCTGCCGATATAACGGGGGGAAAGCGTTTGGTAAAGGGGCTTCAAGCTTTATCTTGTGGTCGTTCAAGAATGCTGTTGGGAGACTCGTGGGTTTTGTTATGCGGCGAAGCATGGGAATTACTTCCCAATGACGGCATGAAAGACGACAACTTCTGATCACTGAGGACTAATGCCCTATGCTTTTGTAAGATTTCCATGAGAGGATCAAGAAACATCTTTGATAATACGGAGTCTTGTTTTGCCTCTTGGAGCATTCCGCAAGCACGCATGACTTCAGCCTGTCTTTGTTCTTCATGGCCCTCGATTTTGTTAAAACAGAGGTCCATAACTAGTACAACAGTAGCCATGAAGACATGATGCATAACTGTGGCGAACCTCGCAGGAGCACAACCCAGGTCAGATTTAGTTTTTTCCAGTACACGGTTCACCTCCAAGTCATTGCGTCCAGAGCCCAAACACACGTCTCTAGAAAAGGCGTATTTTGATTCGACGAATCCCCTTATGAGATACGGTTGGTAGAGCTTACAACGTCTATTAAGGACTCCAAGATGGATAAGATAGCACTGTGTAGCTATATGAGGAAACCTATGGTCAGTCCCGTGGCCCATAAGCCTGCTTTCTTCATCGAGGTGGAAGAATATCGGAAATCTCTTAGTTAGATCCTCGAATTGGTCATCTAGGGCAATTATCTTATCATAGTCTACCATGTCGATATCATCCAGAAATCGAGGTATAGAATCCACGATGGTCCGACATATATCGGATAGACGAATGTATTGGAGGAACTAAGACATTGATGTGGGGGTCGACTCTGAGCCATTGGACTGATCACTTTGGGCAACAAGATCCCCACTTACAATCTGTGGGGATCTCACATGCATATGTTCTGGGTGTATTAAGTAGGTGCCCTCTTGTGGACCGCCAGAAAATGCTAATAGCCATTGCTATTCATTAGATACGTTACGAGTAGGGTATTGCACTCACCAGTCCGTCAAAGCAACATACCACCAAATTCTCCTCTTTGTCTCATATTCAGCCATATCTGCTTCTGAATCTGTCTTGTTCCTTCTGTGCGGATGTCTATTCTGTGCAATGACAGATCTCTCACCATCATTATTGTGTTGCTATGTAGTTAACGACAAGTTGCCGAAAATCCATAATTATTACGTATTTCCCAATCGAACTGTGCACCCGGTCGAACCGTGCAAAATAACCACCAAAATACAACTTCGTAGGTATATTATAACAACAACCCTTTAAAACACTCTAGCTATCTACAGTAATTGAATCTAATACCTCTTTGCACGTACTAGCAGTATGTCCAACTTGATTACATGTGCCACATCGTCGTGGTTTCCCTTTCCTGCACTGACCCTGTGTGGCATCACCACCCTCCTCCTCCTGAGTTTGAGTACTCCGTACGAGCTCATCACCTTCCTCAATTGTCAAGCTTCCACCTAATTGAATACGCTTCCTTCGCTTGTTTGCCCTTCACTTTTTGAGCGCATTCGCCTGCTGTAGCGCCTTGACTTCAGCTTTAAGGAGTGTAAATGAATGGGCCATTATTTGAGCTCCTTTAGCAAGCTGGTCAAATGCCTCATTTATTGAACTTGGAGAGCTATTCTGATGTCGTACGATTCGATTCTTAAGGTGTGTTGTTTGGAATTCAACTTCAGTCGCATTCTGGGGTGTCTTTGAGGTCCAAGTCTCCTTTTCAACAGGTGGTGGGGTTGGTGTTTTTAGTCGGAGATCAAGATGCGAAAGGACAGTATTTGGATCGTACGGAACTAACCCTATAACTAAGTTAGTAGTATTTACTATAAAGATTATTATAATTACCTGTTGCTCGAAAGCCACTCTTAATATTCTGCTCTGTAAATGCAGCTTTATACGCTTCTTTAAAGGCAGAAAGGAACTCAAGCTTTGTGATATGGTGAATACGGAGTAATACGAGACCCTCGACCTGCTTTCTGTACGAGGACTTTAGTGGGCTAAAACACCCAACATTAAGAGGCTGGAGGAGGTGTGATGAATGTGGTGGCATACAGAGGGTAATAATTAGGTGCTCTTGACAATACTGTTGGAATTCGACTGAAATATGTGACTCGTGGCCATCAAGAATTAGGAGATGATATACTCCTTTCGTACGACTCTGAGTATGTTTCTCAAAATGCTGAATCCACTCAAAACCAATTGCATTTGTAGTCCACCCGTTTTCACTTAATGTAATCACCCAATCGCGTGGGAGTTGTACCTCGTCGTTGTTATACCATGACGAGAGGTGGGTTGCTCCTTTGAAAATAATGAATGGAGGAATTGACCACCCGTACGAGTTGATTCCTTGTATAATTGACACCCATTCTCGATTTCCTGGCTGTGTAGCTTTCAGACGATTCCTTGACTCTGAGCTAGTGACTACTTTAGCAGTAGCAATCATTCCCATTAAGAACCCAGCTTCATCAAAGTTGTATATATCCTCCTCTTGAATTCCATACTTTGCGACCGTATTTCGTACGAGCTTAAACCAGTCTCTGATAATCACTGGATCTTCACAAAGAGCTCTTTTATAGTCGTATTTTCGTCCAAACTTCGTTTTAATCTCCGTACGACGCGTGATAAAGTTCGAGGTCCAATTCTTACCTACAGGTGACGCGTCGCGTTCAGCGAGGAGTAGGTCCGCCATTTCTTGTACAGCAGCTGGCCGAGGTGGGAATCCACGCGAATCAAGGTCGAGAATGTATCATACGATAGCTTCCTCTTCTTGAGAAGTAAGCCTTTGAGTATTTGAGGGTGTGTTGCATCGGGGAGCTGTTCCTTTTATCCTATCACGAAGGGTTTGAGGAGGTATATCATATGCTATTGCAGCAGCTCGTACGCTTCGAAATTGATATAATTTAATTGCTTGTATAGCTAAAAGAATCCTACCTTCTTGATTAGAAGAATAAGCTTGTGTTGGAGACATATTAGTTGTATGGAAGGAAGACGCGTTTTGGTGGTTATTTTGCACGGTTCGACCGGGTGCACGGTTCGATTGGGAAATACGTTATATGAGATATTCAATAATTATCGTCGCCTGAATATTTTTAATCGAACCCGAAGATGTGCGTCGTGAGTAATCTGCTACATCAAGGGCAGCATCACTCCACGCCGAGACGCCAGGTTGGCTACTTTGGGGGTAGAAAAGATGACGAGTTCGTCATTTTCGTGCGAGCTTCAGAGATAGCCTGTACTAGCAAATATGCTGAGTAATAACGCAATATGTGCCGCTTCTCTATAAACACGGCCTCTCGGATATGTGTATACAGTCTCTACTATGCACTGAACAGCCAGTGCATCTATGATAGGGTGGAGGTAATGGATGTTGTTCATGTAGTATTTGAGCAAGCTAAGAGCTTCGGCTTTGGTTGGCAGCCAGATAGTGGCCAGAGAGGTTTAGAAAGATACTAATATAAACAGACATTGCTGCTTGTCATCGCGAGGTGTCTGGAGAGTATGCCGTGCCACAGGTTGGCAGGTAACACCACGGGCGGAACAGTTGGAACAAGGTTGCCGCCGGTCACATTTGAGCTTCTTTGACCGACAGAACTGACGTGACACAGGGTCCTGCCGCGGACAGCGGGTCGCCTATTAGACTTGGGTTGGTCCATCAGAGTCTATAATGTCGCGGTGTTGGCCGCCTCACATCGGTAAGTACGAACTCATCAGTCACGAGAAAAACATAAAGGCATAGATTAACAAGCCCAAATAGGATATCTTGGGGCAAAATGTCAGACAGTATATAGCCAGTATGGGTATCATACACATACCCGATAGACAGTTACAGGTACACCGGTTGCAGAAGGGCCACAAAGGGTGCTTTGGAGCAATTCGTGGTGATAGTCACGTGCGTCAGCCCTGATCTTCCCTCTGTTGGATACGTAGGACTGCCATATATGCCGGGCGTAGGGCAGACTGGTGCCAGGCAAAGCTAGGCGTAGGATCACCACCAGCCTCGTAGAAACCGGGCGTAGGATTCGCACCAGCTTCATAGAAGCTGGGCGTAAGGATCAGCGCCAGCTCTGAAGCTAGGCGTAGCTTATTTAATTAATTCAATTGTCCTATATACTCTACGATCACGACTATGTTACCTGTGGAAGCCCTCATTCCGACTGTCTACTCTGTGCATTCCAAAGCGATACTTCTGCTCAGTTGGGGAAACCTAGGCTGCGCACTGGGTACTCATGAGTCGAGTAGTAGAATTTCTACTCACCCAGCTGAGTTACTCACTCATATCCCGAGTATTGTTGAATGAGGATTACTCACTTGCCGGGTACCTAGTATAGGTCTTGGCAACCCAGTTATATCACGTGTTTGATTAGTCATTGAAAAGGGGGTGTGATCGTGACTTCACATTGATATCGATATCGTAAAACGCCATAACTCAATAACTCCATTCCCATGTCGTTGATATCCTATTCCACACTATAACCTTTGCCTTTAGGTACCAGGTTACCAGAAGGTTGCCAGAACTTATCTAACCTTCATTCCTGGGTGAGAGACATTTCCATCGATTAAGCCTACAGCTCCATGATTAAACATCATATCCCGCAAACGCCGAACCAATACCATATCCTTTGCCTGAATTGTCACTCTCTTCGCATGAATAGCAAGGAGATTTGTCACTATAACTGTTAGTATGTCCCTGTCACTATGTTCAAGTATCATACTCTCAAATTCTCGAATGAGGAAGCATTCGGCAGCTTCCTGGAGAGCTAGGATAGCAGATTGCTGGAAGCGAAGATTGGACTTGAAGTCTTGTGCGATTTCCCTAACAAGACGCTGGAATGAGAGCTTTGGAATAATCAGGCGAGTATCAAGTTGCTGTCTTCTGATATCGCGGAGAGCCTTGGTGCCTATATGTTTATTAGAGAGTTCTGGTAATCCTCTGGTAATCCTCTTACCTTTCTGAGCATGATTGTTGCAAGCTTGAGATGAGCGAACTGGAGCTTTTCTTGCTGTGCGCACAGCCTTTTCCTTTCCCTTTCCCTTTCCACCAAGCCTAGAGCCAGCCTGTAATCCAAGTGGCATCCTTGGTGCTGTGCCGCCAGTTGATCTCCTAGCAGTTTGCTTAATACGAGCCATTTGCTAACATTAAGATGAGTTAGTGAAGTATACACAAGACAAAGAAGTAGATCAAAAGATATATGTACTTACAGTGAGTTTGTAGCAAGGATGTTGTAGAAAGAGTAAAGAAAGAGGTAGAGGTTGAAAGGTATGTGTTTTATTTGAAGGTACGCGTTGTAGTGTTGTTTAGAACAGTAATTATTTGCAGGTGAATATTCCTTGACGAATATAATTGTTTGCAACTTTAAAAAAACAACAACCTTACAACCAACCACCTTCCTTGGTTACGTTCCGATCTACACATTCTTCTTCTCTTTTGCGCTTTACCTCTTCACTAGGACCTCAAGTAAGTTTATTATCTTGATTCTACAGTCAGAACTTCTGATGATCTTCTGCTAATCACGTGTTTAGCATGGCGAAACGCAAGGCACCTGAAGAACTCTCCACTAATTTGAATACTATCAAAGCTCGCAACCGCGTCTCCAACCTTACTGAAGATGAGAAGGCTGTTCATTTAGCACTCAAGGCTGACCATGGCGATCTGAGCTACTACTTAAAGAAGTTATACAAGTCTGCAAAGTATATCGCTGCCTCTGCTGAAGACAAGACACGTCTACAGAATGAATTGAAGGTTGAGCGTATTCGTGTTCGGTAAGTTCCTTCTGGTAATCTCTGGTAGCCTTAATCTAACTATAAACAGGACTGAAAAGGGCACCCATGCATCTTGCATTGCGAATCAGAAAGTCAAGAATACTAGCGCCCCTTCTTCTTCTCCACAAGCCCCACCATCTACTCCGCCACAACTTCTGTCTGAGCTTGCTGCATTTGAGGGTATCACCAGTATCCCAATCGATGACGATCATAACAGCGAATGGGAGGATACTGAGGTTGAAGACGATTTAGAGTTGGAGCTTATGTTACGGCGCGACGATATTTTAAATGACGAGGCTGTTCTACCAGATGAGCTTTCTGATGAAGAGATCGCTAGCATCCAGGCTCTCTTAACTCAAGCACGCATTGATGTTGGTACCTCATAGTCTGGTAATCTTCTGGTAATCTTCTGGTAATACTAACGGTTGATAGGCCCATGAAGAGGCCAATTTCCGCAAGTGGCAACATTTCTGGGATAGCTGTATCCGCTCATATACGAGAAAGGCTGGAAAGCTGAGAAAGAAGCCTGAGCATCTCTTTGAATATATGCCATGGATTGATGTAGAAGAAGGGTACGTCTCTGATCATTCTAGCAATCTTCTAGAGATACTAATTGTTTATTATAGCACTTTTCACAACGTTATCCCACCACATAAATATTTCTGTTTGTACGAGCAGGCAGTTTGGAAAGTGGGCCCAATTACCAGGACCTGCGCAGTGGTACCCAAAGTCTTACAATCTTGTCGACAACGGATGGTTACAAGTCTCCACTCATAGTTCTAGCTTCAAAGAGGCGTTCTTACTTGTCTACTCTAAGAAATTTGATAAGGAAAAGTGGGCTAAGGTATCAGCTGCACAGGATATGTTGTTTCTGGAGTTAGAGTAGAGGAGAGAAATGGAGTATTTGATTTTCCGACGCGAATAGGGGCTATAGAGATTTAAGTATTTCATCGTAGCCAGACTTCTGGTAATCTTCTGATAATCAAACAATTTGCTACTTGCCAAATGTCATCGCAATATTCAGAGTTGTTTGACTCTGACAATCCTATTTCTAATCAGACTCTCTTCCCTCTTCTCAACGACTACCTTCATTAAATCAAATCCCTGCGGGCCTCGAATATACTGGCAAATTAAACCAATTCATCAAATGGACTAAGGATACACACGATGTATTCATTGAGTGGTGGAAGCTATCACGATGGTATGAACAACACTCAGATCATACTACAAAACTCCTTACGAAGATTGCATGGGATTCAACCAACCGGAGTTCTCAATACTGGAGAAGTTATCACCAAGGAGCAGACCGGCTTTCTGGAGAACCATGTGTCATTTGTACCTATTGTTCGAAGGCCCTTACGCATCCTGCAATCAAGTCTGCTGGCCCAAAGTCTATGGCAACACATCTTGCATCAGACATTTGCAAAAAGAAGTCACGGATGGGTAAGGATAGTCTCTATCAAATGCGAATCAATCAGATGCGACCTCAACAGGTAAGGATTACCAGATTATTACCAGAATTATATAGGCTAATATCTATAATAGGATCATATTCTCACACAAGAGGCATTTTACGAACAAGTTCTATACACAGTTATCTCAACTCATAGCTCGTTCCGCTCAGTCGAGGATCCTGAATGGAAAAGGCTTGCTATCTTACAGAATCCTCACTATCCACTACCCTCAGCAACAACTATTCGAAACCTCTTAACAACAAAGCTCACACAAATCGAAGAAGAGATGCTACAAGATGTTGTTCCTGGTTCAAAGATTGCATTATCGCTCGACTGTTGGTCAAGTGTTACTCGACTTTCATTTATGGGTGTTATTGCATCATTTATCGACCGTCATTGGAAAATGCAAGAGGTCTTGATTGGGTTTGAACCTATATATACAGAGCATACTGGTGCTGAGTTATGTGGAATACTTGAAAAAGTTTTCACAAGGCAGCATTTAGAAGGACGAATTATATCCATTACGACTGATAATGCGTCAAACAACACTTCAATGATGAGAGATGTGGAAATAATGCTTGATAGTATTGCAGACAACGAGCATTTCATTGGAGGAAAAGTACAACACATACCCTGCCTAGCTCACGTTATTCAACTTGCCCTTAGTGCTCTCCTTGGTCGAATCCGGATTACGCCAACAAATCAAGAGATCTTAATGAACTGGGAAGAAGAGAATCAGATGGAGGGCCTTGCAAAGTTGCAGAAGGACAAGGGTATTGGATTTACACTTGGAAAGGTATATATTCTCTTGTTAGTTCTGGTAAACTTCTGGTAGTCTTTTCTAATATCTCATAGCTCCGGAAGCTCACTATCTTTGTTAATTCAAGTCAAACTCGAAGGAACAGGTTTATGACTGTGCAAAAGGCAAACATGAACCGGGGTCAATCATCTCAGAGGCTTCTTCGACTTATTCAAGATGTATCAACTCGATGGGATTCGACATGCCATATGCTTCTGCGAGCACAGCAACTCAAGTCAACAATCAATCAATATACTCGAGGCGATCATGGTGCTCACATGTTCAGACTTAGCGAGCTAGAATGGAAGCATATCGAATACATCATTGATCTTACAAGGCCATTCAACTTCTTTACAACAAACATTGGATCGTCAGCCGGACCTACTGTCTGCTATACACTTGGAGTATATCAAAAACTCTTATCAACGCTTGAAGGAACTCGGCACCGGCTACGGCATAAGACATATCCATGGGCAGCAAAGATGACTTTAGCAATCGATGCTGCAGAGAAGAAGATTAGGAAGTATTATAACAAGCTATACACAAATACTGGATCTATCTTCGCATTTGCTAGTATCTTAAATCCTAGTGTGAAGCTCTCACACTTTAACAAAAAGGTTTGCAAGCTTGACTTTTCAATACGAAATTGGGAGACAGAGTTTGAACAACAGTTTAGGACTCTTTATAAAGAGCAGTACTCTACAGTGCGAGTTGCGAGTCAATCAGGATTACGAGATGCAGATATGGATCCATTAGCCTTAGTATTGCAGCAAAGTCAGACATTAAATGGGACTCGGGGCCAGCGAGAGGAATATGTGAATGAGGCTGATCTCTATCTTGATGCTCGTAAGTTTCTGGTAATCTTCTGATAATCTTATTCTAACTTGTATAGCACATATCTACACAAAGATATTGCTATTTTGGCAACAAAAGGAAGAGCAATTTCCTGGTCTATCAGCAATGGCTCGTGATATACTTTGTATTCCTGCTGCTGAGTCTGGAGTTGAGCGAGTCTTTAGTGCCGCAAGGGACGTATGTGGCCACCGACGTGGTCAACTTAATCCTGAGACGATTAAGAGTATTATGCTTATATATTACTCTCGACAATACAAGAATCGTCAAGGTCATCGTGACAAGCTTGCAGATATGATGGACGTCGTTGATATGACTGAGGAGCAAGTCGAAGAAGAGTATGAGGCACAACGACAACGGATGTGCAATTCTATCGAGTTACAATATATCAGCGATGAAGAAGAACCACGATCAAATACACATATCCGAGAGACATATTCAAAGGTACAATATCCTCCGTTTAATCCTCAGCGGCCACAGCAACAGCAAGACTTATCACAAGCTGCACATGAAGAACGACAAATGCGCTACCAACAAGGTGAAGAAAGAGATAGGGCTGACCGTCTTAACGAGACCTTATACGACATCCCAGATGACGATATCCCAGATAATGAAGATATAAGAGAAGATGGTAATAATGAGGAGCCTATACTTCCAACTATTCATGACGATGAAGATAAGGATATGCCGTCCTCGCCACCAACGCCTATCCAACGCCCTCGGAAGACTGGAAGAGATCTACTTGATATCTTTCAAGCTACTCGTCAAGACCCTATAAATACTTTAGGTATTAGTAGGTCTGGCCGGCCTCATCAAGCAAGGTGGAAAGATGTTCTTGAGCATATATAATATAGTGTTCTGATAATCTTCTGATAATCGTGGTACTTAGATAGAGGAATATACGTGATTCGTTCTCACAGCTTATTAGAGATGGTAGAGTGATGCTGATAAATGTAATACTTTAAGTTAACTTACAACTGTAACCATAAAACAGTATTAATCGTATGAGGGACTGTTCACGTAATGCATATATCTTACACGTGACAGCCGAGTACTCACTGGGTTTTTACAGAGTAACTGAGTATTGGCCTCACTCACCGAGTCGAGTGAAAGGTTCAGCTACTCACCCAGCTGAGTAACCCACTGAGTGAGTGAGCCGAGTATTGGGCGAGTAGTGCGCAGCCTAGGGAAACCCACCCAAATTGGCCGAGTATCCCCGGGCACAGATAATTATACAACACCCTCTGTTGGGGGGGAGAAGGATTCGGGCGCTGGGCCCTGAAACCGAGGGTTTCTCCGGCGCAGAGTCCGACTCCTGGGTTGGCTCGGAAGAATACGTAGGCCCGTAGGATAGTAAAAAAAGAATCTGGATTTACTGCGAGGCTTCTGTTCCGGTGCGCCAAGAGACTGATTACGGTGATCGGGGATTTACATCATAGCCGTCCGGACTCTCCGCGGATAGTCCGAGGTGTCTGCGCTGGTCTGGCCATATCAATCTTGGGGATGTACAGCCCCATGTTTTACATTACTACTCACGCACGTAAAGCCTCGGCCACTCAATAGATATATCTTTCTACCTTGTTTCTGTCATCAATGGCTCCTCGTTGTTTCACAAGATCTAGACCTATTCTAACCGAGCATTGATGGGCAATCCTAAGTCTACAAGCTTCATGCGGGGGTTTCCTCGAGCACTCGCACTGACATAGGGATCCGAATTTGTCTTCCCAATATATCGCTATTTGCTAACTTGTTCTCCAGGTCTTTGGCACTCCGATTAGCGGTAAGCTTGTCGGCTCGTATGGATATCTCTCGTTCTCGATTTTCGCCAGCGTGTCACTTGTGGTTGATCTTGATATTCTGGGCGCGGTTACGTCTGAAAAGGAAAATTTTCGCAAAACAATGACCATGTAATACGTCTCTAAAGGTAAAGGGATAAGGACGCTGCGGCCTTCCATCGTCATTTTCATCTTGGTATACTGTATGAGAATCTTGTCTATAATGCTAGAATACCTGTCGCTGGTGGTCGGGGGATGTGGTTATAAAGCCCTGGAACGGCAATACCGTCTCTAGTTCTACTTCATTTACGAGTGACTTGTGTGCGAGAAGAGGATAGGAAGAGAGTTTTTGATGGCGATGGCGTTTTTCAGGCTGCATTACGTATTTAGCGCTTGGGGCTGCAGGGCGTTGTTGAGTAAATAAACGCGCGCACGGGTGTGAATTCACATTTTTAGTGTTGCGGTATAGTCCAGACTTGACCTCACAGCCTATAATTAGTGCGTGTGGGGATGCAACCCAGGAGGCGGGGAAGGCTTTTATAAGGTTAAAACTAATGCCCGTAGCACGGAACCCCACCAACTTGAATCCAACCTTAAAAGGCAAGTTCTAGAACTTTAAGCCAATTATGTCGACTTCCTCCGTCCCACGACTATGTCATTTGTATATCAACGTCATGAGTACCTCTATGTTCATTATAAAATCCTACTTCTGTTGTTGCTACCATTGCTAGATTTATATCTTTAATACTAAGACCACAGAATTATCGCATTCGTGACGCAATATCAATGACGCTAATACCAATGCATGTCTAAATGGTTGTGCAATTATTACGTCGTAGGTATTTATCGTTAATGAAAATAAGGCGACCAAGGACCTTGGTCGCTTGGTCGCCTTGGTCCAAGGTATTCATGTTATATAATGTTTGAACTGGTCCCTTTGTTTTTATTAATCAAATAATCCGAATAATAAACATACCCAGCCATAGACTGAACAACACCTGTTCGTTAGACAAATCAACAACATGGATAACGCAGTAAATGCAGTCGGCAGGCTCTTTGCCAGACCCAACCAGGCAGTGGGGGAGAGCAGCACCACTAATTCATACCATTCCTCTGCGTCTACCTCCACCAACCACGAAGCAAACGCCAGCCGCACTGGAAACACCAGCCGTAATGAGAACAGCAGCAGCAACCGCAACGCAAACAGCAACCGGAATACGACCACTAATAACGAGGAAGACACAACCCTTGAGTCTGAAGTTTCACCCGCCGTGGAGCACAGACACGTCAAAAAGCAACACGAAACTCGCGAGCAAACCTTTATTCATAAAGATAAACATCAGGATCACTACCATACCACAATCCAGCCTCTTAAAGACTCCGAGACATTGCCCGAGAAGCACGATCGCACCCAAGAGACCAGGCGCCGCAGCACCAACAACGATCACAGTGATGCGAAGAAGAAGGCCGAGGCTGGTCGATCTGGATTCAAGAACACGACTGACCAGGAGCAATTTGAAACTAAGACCAAGGAGCCGACGCAAGAAGATGTGCATATACACAACCATTGGCATGAGACTGTGCAGCCAGTCATTGAGAAGGGTAAGTCAGATTGTAAAGGCTAATGAGTACTGGGGGTTTCCTTGCTAATGTGTCTTTGATAAATAGAGGTCATTGACCCATCGATCACTCACAGGAGAATTGACATGGAGCAGAGTATCCAAGAACCTGCCAAGTACCATGGTGTGACGACCAATGCCGCCGTTTCCGCCGAGGAGTTCACGAAGAAGCATAATGTAGAGAAGAAGTAGTAGGCGTTTATTTTGTGTAGTTTGTTATGTAGGCATACAACAATTATTTTTCCTGTATGAAGCAAGGTTGATAGTGACAGTGACTCTTATATTTTTGAGAGGGGCACCGTTGTTGTTATAAAGGGTCCTGTTTCATTGCGAGCCCCAATCTTTCCCAATATAATTGGCACGAAAAAGTTCAGTTATTTTGAGCTAACGTACATGTATACCGAATGATACACGACACCGAATGACACACAAAATTGTGCCAACACAACAAACACTAAAACAGTTCCACCACAACAAAAGAAAATCAATTAAAATTACTTAGAATTCTCTTCTACAAGTGTCTCTTCATCATTTTCACAAGTGCGCACATTATGTCCAGTCTCGCTACACTTGCTACAACGCCGCGCGCGCGTTTCTGTCCTTGGCTTCCGGCCACTACCTATATGCTCTTCCTCTCTTATTTGCTATGCAACATTATTATCATCTTGTAGATCTTGTCCATCTTGTATAGAAAGTGATTCTCCTTGCCTTAAACACATCTTCTTAGACCTCCGACGCTTGCTAAGATTATCATTTGCCTATCGAAGGATCTGGTTCTCTATTTTAATAGGGCTAACTAATGCATAACCTTTGATGCCCCCTTTGCAATCTGGTCAACAGCATTAGAAAAGGTTGGCGAGCTATTTTGATGCCTAGGGATCCGATTCTTAATGAAGGTAGACTTCGAAGAGGCCTTAGTTGTGTTATGAGGTGTCTTAGGAACCTAGGAGTGAGATGTGCTAGGCTGCGAGTTCGGAGGAGTTGGTGTCTTCAACTTGAGGTCAAGTTTAGAAATGACATGTTCTAGGTTAAATGGAACAATTCTAGCGCCTCGGTGTAATGATGTACGGTTACGCTCAAGCTACATCCCACTGAGCCAAAAAGACTACAGTATTCCGGCTCGCCCGGAATACGCGTAACACGCTTTATATACCACATGTACTGTAACAGCAGCACCTGTTACACTCGGAAACCTCCCTGGATGTTTTTCTCTGTTATGGCAGCCTAGTGCACTATGTAAAAGGCAGCAATGAAGTCCCCTTTGGTAAGAGGACTTCCTTGCTGCCTTTTCTATGTGCCTTCATTAGCTCGTAGATTTGGTTGCCATATGCTGTTTTAAGTGGACTAATAATCTAACATCGAGTGGCTAGAGGATATGAGATGAGTAAGGAGGCATGTAGAGTGTGATAATGTTGTTCTCCTTGTAGAAAAGCTCAAAGTTAACTAAGTGGTGGCTCTTATGGCTGTCAAGGATAAGGAGGCAATACCTGCTCGTGTGTCATAGTCTAGTGTGCTTGTCAAAGTGCTGAATCCATTCTAAGCCTCTCTCGTTTGTTATCTAGCCATTTTTAGTGACCGGAATGGCCTAGTCTTTAGGTAATGGGCTGTTTTCGTACTAGGACGAGAGGTGGTTTTTGCCTGTAAGAATGATAAATTGGTAGGATTGCCTAGCCCTACAAGTTAACGCCCTAGATAACAGTGGCCCATTCCCAGTTTCCTAGATGTACTGATTTAGCTTTTCTACAATGTTCTATGCTTGTCACAACTGTCGTGGTGGAAATCTAGCCCATTAAAAACCCAGTCTTGTCGAAGTTGTAGATGTCAGTCAGCCTCTATGATACCGTACTTTGCAATTGTGTTCTGCACAAGCAGATACCAGCCACGAATGATTTCTAGGTCTTCACATTTAGCTCTTTAGTAGTCGTATTTTGATTAAGGCGTGTCTTTAGCTCTAGATGGCGAGCAACAAAGCGTGAAGCCTAATGCATCACGCTTAGTAAGGAGTCGATTTGCCATATCTTCCACACTAGATAGCTGCGGAGGAAACCCTTAGGAATCTAGGTCAAGAATGTATTGAACAATAGTCTGATCTTCTAATTTGTCTAGCTTTAACGAATTGGCTAAGATATCGTGTTGTGATTGCATGCTACGTTTACGGCGACTGAGCTTCTGGTGATCAACATCAAAGAGCTTGCCTATAGTCCAAGCACTTAATGTTGGATCTTGTCGCATATAGTGTGCGTCATGGGTAACCGACCCCACCGGGTAACCTAACCCAGACCATGGGCCGGTCTGAAGCCAATAACCCACGGGTACCCACCGGTCTGCCAAGAAACCAGTCACGGGACATTTATATTTGCTATCACGTGTACTTTATATATGTGAGTGTAGTTTGTATAGGACGTATAATTTACAAGCAATTACTAACGTGGTTTATCAGTACGTCGGACATATCAGTACCTCGGACACTTTTCATTGGCATTCTACTTTGAATATCAATAAATCAACCATAACATATTAAATTAACTATAACTAAGCGGAATCAGATGAACTAGACATATCTATAGCTTCTTGACAAGTTCGCGCATTATGATCAGCTTTTCCACAGATCCCACAGCATCGCCTAGACGGTTGCCCCTCCTTGCGACTACCCCCAACCGCACGTACGTCGCGTCGTACCTGCTCATCCACATCCTTCTGTGCGATAATAGCCTGTGCATCCTCTACTATAAGTGCACCTCCTTCACGGACACGAGCCTTTTTAGCCCTGCGGCGTTTGCTAAGGGCTTCGTTGGCTGCTCGAAGGGTACGTACCTCAGCAGACAGAAGGGTGTTCTCATGTGCTAGTCGCTCCGTACCCTTTGCCAATGCAATAACTGTCCCGAAGAGTGGAGTTGGCGAGCTTCCTTGGTGACGGGCAATTCGATTTCGAACGAGGGTTGTTTGTGAAAGAGCTTCAGTTGGGTTGTGGGAGACCCAAGGGTTGGTGTTGGCAGTAGAGGGTCTAGAGGGAGTTGGAGTCCGTAACCTCACGTCAAGCTTTGAAAGCACTGCTTGCGGGTCGAAAGGAACTAAGCCAGCTCCGCGGAACCCGGACTGGGCGTTTTGGGCTGTCATGGATTCCAGATATGCTGCTCTAAAGGCGAGAAAGAACTCGACCTTGGTAATGTGGTTGATATGAGCCTTAATGAAGGTCTCAATCTGCCGACCATATGCCCGCTTCAACACACTAAAGCACCCGACATCAAGTGGCTGAGTTAAATGAGACGAGTGGGGAGGTAGTCCAAGAGTTATAATGTTGTGTGCCTTGCAGTACTCTTGGAACTTGGCCGATTCATGACTCTTGTGCCCGTCTAACACCAGCATTCGATATGGACCCCTTGCACGAACAGCAGTATGTTTGTCGAAGTGTTTCAACCATTCTAGACCCGTCTCATTGTTTGTCCATCCATTGCTTGTCGGTTTAACAACCCAGTTGTGTGGAAGGCCGCCGTCTGTATACCAATTTGCAAGATGATTCTTGCCTTTAACTACCAAAAATGGAGGAATACTCCAGCCGTCACTGTTGATACAAGCAATCGCTGTAGCCCATTCCCGATTCCCTGGCTGAACTGCCTTACCTCTGCCAAGTCGATCTGCACGGGTAACAACCATTGCAGGGCAAATCACACCCATCATAAACCCAGTTTCGTCAAAGTTATAGAAGTCGCAGTCCAAAACACCATATTTTGCCCTCATATTTTCCACTAGTCGAAACCACGCGCCAATTAGTTCAGGATCTTCGCACAAGGCCCTTTGGAAGTCGTAAACGCGATTAAAACGCGTCTTTAATTCTGGACGTCGTTGTACAAATCGGTGGGCCCAGAGCTTCCCGACACGCCTCCCTCCACGCGATTCGAGTATAAAATTTGCCATATCTTCTACACCAGCAAGCCGGGGTGCAAATCCTCTTGAATCCATATCAAGTATATTCTGAATAACCACCTCCTCTTCTAGTATAGTTAATTTCATCATTGCAGGCCGGCGTTCGTAGACAGTAGTTCGGCCATTCATTCTGTCGCAGAGTGTAGAATGAGGTACTTCATAGAGCTTAGCAGCCTTCCGACGACTTAGATTTTTTGATGTTCAGATAGCCTCGATAGCTAGAATGATTTTTGCTTCTTGGGTAATCACTGACATAATAAAAGGTGGAAAAAACGCGTTGTGAAGTTAGAGGGTAGGAAATTTGGGAAAAGTGTCCGAGGTACTGATATGTCCGACGTACTGATAAACCACGTTATATTTATTACTATAGATCTATGTTACGCCATGACTCCTGAATTTCCTGACCAGACCGAGACTTATTACGGACCTGGCTTAACTCAACTGTTTCAACTACTGCCTTCTGGGGCAACTGGGCCCCATTATCCTTCCGTGATTTCTTTGCAATAGGAAGTGAAGGTAGTAAATAATCACCCTCGCTCTGGCTAGGGGGTACCCCCTCAAAATCGTCTACCTCATGGTCAATAAAGTCAAAAGTTGAGAGATCAACTTGACTTTGGTAACGAACTTGGCTTTGCTGGCCTTGTGACCGCTGTACCCTTGGCAAGCTATGGAGACCTCGTCGTGATTGAACAAATTCAAACCGGTCTTTGTTCCGCCTTGTCCGGTCATAGGTATTTGGCTGCCTTGGGCTTCGGTCTGGAATGTACTGTAGTGCCATCTTCTCCTGGATATTATCAATTAGAGCATTATACTCAAATGATATTTCCTCATCATTCATATAGGTTGAATCAATAATATCCGTAACTGAGTAGTGTTCAAAGAGCTGTTCCCGTTCAATTTTCTGTCGGTAAAAGACAAGCATAATACCCCTTATTGTCTCAAGGGCCATCTGGTTGCGCCTATAATTGCAGACAGCATGGGCAGTACTAAAGACCCGCTCAACGAGGGCTTCAGATGCAGGAATACAAAGTATATCCCGGGCCATAGCAGCAAGCCCAGGGAATAATCGCTCGTTATCTTTCCACCATAATAATGGTTGTATGGGCTCCATCAAGATACTCAAACCCAATTAAAGCCTCACGGTATTCCCATTTATCAGTAATGAATGTTGCCATAATACCCATAAAGGAGTGCCTTGTTCCAGGGCTAGACCAATTGTCAAGAGATAATGCACACCTTGCCCCAGGTACAAGACCATGAAGGGCAATCTGCTGTGCATTACTAACCATAACATCAAGGCGCCGCTGTAAGGTTGTTGGTGAAGGAAGTGGATATTTCTGATTCTGCCATAATGCCATCTCTCTCCAAATAAGATTCTCAACAGATCGGAATGATATGTTAAGAGATACTACAGTCTCAAGAACGTAACTGTAGAATGCTTCCTTTGGGTCGTCTTCTGGTTGTAGCCGCATACTCTAAATAATAGTTAGGTATGTTTATAGTAATAAGTATAGTAATATGTAATATTGCTTACTGGAGAGGATTGCGAGAGGCGGAGCTGGCTCTGATGTAATGTAGAATGGTTTGATGACTTCCTTATACACCCAGCTGATCGAAGGTGAGTGCTCATTGTGCTTGTCCCTGAGCCTTTAATACTTTAGTGGATGAGTATTTTCAAACACCTCTGGCAAACAATTACTGGTTCCCCAGTTGATTTTCGAGCTCCTTGGTCAAAGTGTCTCCATGATAATGAGGTCCGGGTTGTTGACCCCCAGTTGATTTGCTTATCAGTGCTTAAAAACATATTTGGCTGCTCTTTATACCAGGACTGGTAATGTCACCAGTTGTTGAATAGGTCTGCCTTTGAAGGCGTCCACTTTAGCACCATTAGACCTTGGATCTTTTCTAGCCCATCCCATTGGTTGTTAAGTTGTTGGGAGGACTCAATCTCAGGTGTTCTATTACTAGATAAAGGCTCATCAAGAGAGAATACATCGCTATAAGGTTGTGCTGGCGAACTTAAAGATTGGTTATAAGACATAATATTTTAAAATATTCAATATTATATTATTATAAGGAAAATAAAACAGTCAACCTGAATATTTATTAAGGTCTACATCTATTCTATACGTACTTCTCTATTTCGCTTGAATTCTCCTCTTTAGAATATTTTAGATTACTTGTGGAGTATATGGTAGTAGCGTGTTTTGGTATTATGGGCCTATAGCCTTATAAGCCAATTATAGTAAGAAGTGGTAGTGTCAACAGTAGTGTATTGATCTACCTAGACTATTGTAGACGAAGAAACTAATCTACATTTCGTAGAACTGGCTGAGAAACTCCTCTGATTCTTTTGTTGGAGGCAACAGTACCAATGTATCATCGGATGGCAAGACCCACTTGAAATTGGTAGGCTCGGTTTCTTCAGCCAACATCTCCCAAGCTTCATATGCTCTGCCAGCATCAAGATCAACATGGAAACCATGCTGAGTAGTATCGTAATCATCAGGGTACCACTCAGCTGGCCCAGGAAGATATGCAATGTCACCATCAAGATTCCATGAGGTGAAGTTTCTCCAAACAGCCATTTCCGTCTTTGAGAAGTATAGATGTGGCGGAACCTTGTTGTAGTAGATCCTAGAGATGTTAGCTAGTTACTATAATTATTACTATAGTTACTTACCCTGTAGTTGGATCAATTGCAGGGGGCAATTTCTCAAGGAAGTCTGGGTCTGTGTTGACCTTCTTCATTAGTCATAACGTTGATTGGTATGCAACCCTCCACTTTCGGCGCCAGAGGGAGAATCCCAACTAATCCACCTTCTATATTATATTAGTAAAGCTCAAATGTAATAGGTAATGGGTTCTCATCCATACCTTGGTTGTAGCGACAGATTGTGCCACCATCTCTCTCTGGATCTTCTGAATTCCAACATCATCAACGCCATTGGCCTTCTCATCTTCCCTCCACATAGCCTCTTGCACTACCTCATCATCCTCATCCTCAGTTTCCCAAGCAATGTTTCCGTCGTCCCAAAGAGAATATGCCCCCCCTCCCTCACCAATCCCAAGACGTTGCTGAACAACAGTTGCATGCTTTCCATCATGTACACTGTTTCTATGTTACTATACTTATTACTATAACAGTGGATAGGAATAGATCTTACCGCTTGAGAGCTACCTCGGTCTTTTTGGCTTCTACTCGACGTTCTTGAGCTTGGCTGTTGAGGTTCTTGAACTCAGAAGTTGCCCGGAGATTTCGCAAGGCATATGAAACAGCAGCTGTATCTGCCCTCTTGGCATTGTCGATTGTGCGTTCAACTTCACTTATGTTGTTGCGGCGTTTTGTGACCTGCTGGGTATTCTTGTTCTTCGACTTCTCGTCGTCGTTCTTTCGTTTTCCAACCATCGCGGCTGTCTTACTATAACAATTACTATAAAGTAAGTAGAAAGGATTGAGTAGACTTACCTCCTTGATCTTAGAAGTGTCGGTGGTGTTGGGGGTGTTGGGGGTTGACGAAGAAGGTTGAAGAAGAAGGTTGAAGAAGAAGGTTGTTGTTGTGGGGTAAAACACGTCAATAAGGTCGCTTACTATTGTTGTCCTTACTATTGTTGTGGGAGAATTCACCTTTATCGCCTACTACCGTACAAAAAGTGAAGCTGAAGACATTTTACTAAGCGAGCTAGCTCACAACCCCAACAACAACAACCTCACCCTACCTTTATTTTTCCTACACAACACCCCCCCGACCTTCAGATCAACATGGCTATGTGAATTGCTACTGGCTGGCAAACTGGTAAGTAAAGCACCCAAATCTTATAGTAATACTTATAGTAACCCTCTTTTAGTGTCATGGATCTGGACGCTGCCTACGATGCCCCTGATCCAGTCACAAGCTCCGAATCTGAAACCGAGCCCGATGGAAAAAAAGCCCCACTCAAACAATCCCACAAATTCATGCAACTGACCAACTATTCACTTCGGTCACGACAACCACAAGTACAACCAGCACTTGAGCCAAACACTCCAACTCACCAGAGTGCACGCCTTCAACTCCAGACCCCTCCAGCGACACAATACAAGGTTCGGAAAGGTCCAATTCCAACGTTTGTGCCTGGTCAAAAGTTCAGCAAGAAGATGCCAGCCCAAAAGACTGCTGGAAAGGCTCCAAGAAAGACCTCAGGGATCAGCGGAAAAGAAGATTGTGAAGAAGGCCGCGAAGAAAAGCCGTCGTTTTAAGCCTGGTAGTAAGTTGATTACTATAACTATTACTATAAATCCTTTCTGATCAAAAACAGCCGTTGCTCTCCGACAAATCTAACAGTACCAAAAATTGACAGAAACTCTCCTTCCCCGTGCGATTCACATGACTTATCCGTGAGATCATCAGCGACTTGCGCCCTCGCGAGGACTTTCAGCTTCAGTCTTCTGCAATTTCTGCTCTCCAGGAAGCTGCAGAAACTACACTCGTCAAGGAGTTTGAAAGTAAGTGAGTCTACACGTTTATAGTAATCATTATAGTAATTGTTATAGTGACCCAGCTGGCTGCTATCCACGCAAAGAGAGTCACAATTCAACAGAAGGACATGAAGCTTGTCCAGCAGATGCGCTTACACATGACGGGGTTTTCATTTCCAGGCCAACTAAGATAGGAGAGATGGAAGATACCAGGAATAGGGCAAATGAGTAGCAGGATACAGATAGTAGAAATCCAATGAAACGTTTCTACTATATTGGTCTATTGTAACTGTATAGTAATAACTATAGTAACGATTGTATTTGTGGCAACCCATCATGTGTGGCAACCCATCACGTGTGACAATTCATCACACGTGATGGGTTGCCAAGGAACCGCTGGGTGCCCACGTCGGTCTGGGTTGGAAAATCTTCAGACCGGCGGTTTGCAACCACCGGTTACCCATGACGCACACTAGTCGCATAGCTTGGAGGGCTAACAAGACCTGGCTCTCATTTTTTTTAGGGGCATGTTGGGTTGTAGAGAAATGAAGTATTTTGTTAAGAAATGGCGTTGGCGCGAAATTGTGTCATTCGGTGTCGTGTATCATTCGGTGTACATGTACGGTATGGTATGTATTTGAAATTCAATTATTTAACTTATCGAAATTTTGGCGGCAGTCGCCCCAACTACGGCATAAGCTATTAAGGTCAGCTTGCACATAGTTCGGAGGTTGTAGTAGATATTATAAGTAAATATTAGTTTGAATGGTATATATTCTGTTTTTCTCCATATAAGTTCTTAGCCGGAGTGCCTGGTCCTGCGCTTACAAAGTGATAGTCCAAAGTGAGAACAGGTTGATGTCACCGATGATTACGTCAGTCAGTTAACGGGAACACAAGACCAACTTGTAGAACATCAGTCACTGTCATGACCCCGCTTATTCCCTTTATTGTACTTATACGCTCTATGGCGACTAATTTCAGTTCCAAAGTTACAATGATGTCATGATGTTCAAAGTGCCATTTAATGCTCCTGCAAACAGACCGACTAGCCTCAAAGTAGCACCAGGGCTCGTGTAGATACCCCAGTTTGAAAACTCTTTCGGGCGGGGTGGATGTAGCTGCAGGGTCCACGACAATAGGTTTAAAATCCATTGCGGATATAAATTAAAGGCTGCGGAGCAGTTAAAGTAAAGTCTGAAGAGATGATCTGAGGGAATCAGTTGGTTTGGCCGAGTTTAACAAACCTACAGTTAAAGATGATACCTTTCTACATACCCAAATACTTCTCCAAACGTCATCTAACTTGACTATGCTTGTGAATTGACCCCAATTCCAAATGGGATGACACAACATAATCGTAGGCTGCGATTACAGCTGCACAAAAGCTCCCTTGACATGCTGCTGAAGTTCTCTTACCACGTCAGCGGCGAGGAAGCTGTTAGTTAGTTGGCCAGCAGTCTACAATATGGGGAAAAATAATTTTGATTCCCACGGTTACATTGAAGTTAATTCGTATCTATTCTGTCATGAGTAGTTTGATCTACCACTTATGAGTCTCAATGAGGTCAAGCTGATAAGTTAGATTAAACCTTTCGTCTATCTCCCGCCATATTTTCGTGGAAGTTGAGGATTCTGCAGTCAGGCCAACTACTCCTTGGCAATCCGAAAATACCGGGTTCCCACCCTGCCGAACATACCTGCGAGTAGCTATATAGCCACCGAGCCTAGCAATGTATAACTTTACCGGAAGCTCTTTTTTTTAATATTGCGGCTTAAAATCTCGAACAACTTACTGAGTCCAAAACACCACACTATTTTAAACGATGGGTTTTTTTCCAAGTGGTGGTAATAGGTCCAGGTCCTCCGACGGGGGGTCTACGGGATCAAGAGCCGCCTCTGTTGTCTTTCGGCTCATGCAGCTCATCTCTGCCGCCATCGTCGCTGGATTGTTGGGCCGCTATCTCCACAACGTCCACGAGGGAGGTGGCTTCAATAACCGTCGAATCATATATGCGATCTCCATTGCTGGCATCGCCATATTCTTCTCGTTACTCTTCATGCTACCTCTCAAGTACCAATTCTACGCCTTCCCTTTCGACTTCATTATGTTTATCTTGTGGATGGTTGCCTTTGGACTTCTTGTAAATGTATGTTACTACCCTATCCAACGCTGTTCTATTTGGTTCATAAAACTAACATATATGAAAAGCTTGGAAGCTCAGGCTGTAACTCGAGCTGGTACAGAACCAGCTGGAGTTGGGCATGGGGAAGATGGTATCGACAAACTGCAGGGACATTTAATCGCTTTACGGGCGCTGGATGTAGCAGCTGGAGAGCAACTCTTGCATTTAGTTTCATCGGGGGAATCTTCTGGCTTCTCAGCTTCCTACTGGTAAGATTTCTCATTTCAGTATTCTCACATCCCAACAAATGACTAATATCTCCATAGGGCCTTTACTTTTTGACGAAGCACCGCTCCCGCCGTGAAGTCCACGAGGAGGCCCCAAGAATCAGGAGACAGGAAGACACCCATGTCAACAGCGGCATAGCCCCCGTTTACCACGAGAACCGCAACCAAACCAGAGAGTACCGAACCACACCAGCGGAAACTATTCAGTCCCGAACCGAGCCTGCTGCAACATATGTCCAGCCACCGCAGACTCAGGGCACGGCGGCGACAACATATTCCCAGCCGCAGTACACGACGACCCAGGAATATGCGACGCACCAATATCCTACACAGCAGTACGAAAGCACGCCGGAAACAATAGTTGGCCAGACAGCACAAGATGTACTTTCCAACTAGCGCGGAAACATCGAGTAGGTTGGCGATTGGGGTTTTGCGGAAATGACGGTTAAATGGAAATATGGGAGGGATGCGAGGAATGGAAAAAGGGCGGGAGACTTCCGAAGACTCATCTGTCGAAGGGGGGGTATACCGTCGAGCAGTCTGTATTTTACTAATTTCTTAATACCAACTAATACAACCTCATTCCTTCACTGCCTGTAAAATAAACATAATTAGTAACTTGATCAACTCTTCCGTGACCGACACATTTATGCCGTAGTCTACAAACCCACTTGAGAAAATAACAACTCAAGATTTTGAGCACAATCAGACCCAAAGTTGACGATGATGAAGATGATGATGATGATGATATTTATTTGCGTCTAGCGGGGCGCGGGTGAAACCCGCGCCCCGCTGACCTCCCGAAGGGTATGAGGACGTGCTATGCTAGGGGTTTATGTATAGGGTATAACGTTAGAGAGCATTTCTTACTTGTGGTACGCGGCCGTGAGGCCTTTTGACTAAGTGCCTTTCCCGCAGTTGGGATGGTGTCAGTGTAGTCAGAGAAGGGTATACCCTTGAAGTTTCTCCCGAGAGGGTGTAGTTGACTAGAGTGTGAAACCACTATAGAAGTGGTATGTAGTGTAGCTAGTCGCCCCTGCTGTAGAGTGCAGCTCTATTAGAGGGTCGCTAGTTGTATGGAAAATGAAAGTGAGAGATATAGAGTGTCTTAAGACAAAGTAAAGTTGAATGAATGTTAGGGTTAATTGTACTAGACCCTGAATGCCAGTAGGTAAAACTTTAGCGTGTCATCCTCTAGGACCATGTCACGTTAACCTGTAGCTGATGTGGGAGGTGCCTGCTACGGGAGGCGCCTAGCCTATTTAGTGCAGATCTTAGAGTAGAACTCTGTGACTTGTAGGAATGTAGCAAAGTCTGCTGGTTTAGCTATGAGGCGTGTGAGGTATTTGAGGCCCGTGGCTTTGTGTAATGCTGACTTCTAAACGATAGAAGACACAGAGGTTTCTTGCGTAAGGTTGACTTGACAGAGGAGGCAGGAAGGCTTTCCAAGTAACACGTTACAGTATTGTAAAGAATACTATATTGAGTTTGAGTTGAGCACGAAGCTCCTATCTAAGGAAATACTATTTACTTATATAGTGGTGTCGTGCCAAAGGGATATCCGTGGATAACATGGAGAACATAATATCCATGATATCCAATGTATGCATCATGTGAGGTTGCAGCTGTAAGCGCTAGCCATAGCACTAGCACTTAGCCATAGCATCTATGTAACGGAAGTAGAAACCTTACAGGCCTCTAGCTCCTCTGCTTCAGCAGCATCAAGCTCAACAAGTTATCTAAACCACGCTGCAACATTTTCTTGGCCTAAGCATGAACAAATTGTTGTTGTTTCATTAGTGTCATACTGACATTCGTTGCACTCAGTTTGCTATCAAACTCAAGAGCAAACTTGGAAATCTCCTCCTCAAACCTACAAGTCACTATATATATTTTGGCTTATCACACCAACAACAAGAGCAATACTACTCAACGATTGCTACAACCATCTATGATTCATTACACGTCATCGCTCCTTAGTTACTGGGCCGATATTACCACATAGCATATCTCTACAACCCTCTATGATTCATTACATGACATCACTCATACTACCACATGACATATCTCTACCAACTAGAGGCCTAGGAGCATGAACGATAGCTCTAAAAGCTCCTACGAACCTCTATGATTCATTACATGTCATCGCTCTTTAGTTACCCACAAGATTGGTTAAGTTATGACATAATTTGTCTATGACATAATTTGTCTATGACATAATTTGTCTATGACATAATTTGTCTATAGGGGTACTCTGACCTTGGACCTCCTTTTACTTCCTATAGGCTACGAACCTAAGAGATGGTTCTATGGGATTCTCTTACGTCGACTACAGTTACCAAGCCTGGTTAGTCATGGAAAGTCTTGGAAAATGAGAGAACTACACTCCTTTAGCATAAATAGGATTGCCCTTTCCTTAAGAAAGGGCAAGCAGACAATACAGTAAATCGACTATCACATACTTCCACGTCTTTTCCAAGCTTCCAAGCATTCATCTTGTTACTCCTTGTTTCTGAAAAGTCAGTGAGGTGTTAACCTCTGACTTACCCCTGAGTTCCCAGACTCAACATTTGTTGCAACTTGTCTGAACCACTTCACTACATCACACACCTGATTGCTGCGTTGTGGAATAGTCTAAGCTACGACCCTTTGGCTCTGTTTTCTAAGACAGTGTGTTGTCTTAGTAAATTCATCCCTTCCTTGGGTGGCTAGATTCTCACATCTGGTGCACCCACCATTACAATTAGGCGAGATTGACAGGCTAGCATCTTGTGGAACTTAGCGGTAGATGACTTATGCATAACTCATGCATGACCCATGACTGTAGCCTTTCCTAACTCACATATTCCTTGACTTAGCGCTATAGGTAGGGTGAGCCATAACACTACTCCCCTCTCCCTCTAGTGTCGTCTCGATCGCTTAAGTAGTTAGTGTGGTCTTTCTTCACTAGGTCAAGTCTTTCTTCCTTCTGTATTATGCCTGCTGTTCATTCAACATATAAAGAACATTGTGCGCTTGCCAACCAAATCAGATTGCAAGGTGTCGAAATGTTTCCTTGTACTAATTGTCAAGGTTCAATAAAGAAATTCTATGCCTCTGTAGCTTCGACATCCGCTTGTTGTGGGGAGTGTATAAAATTGGGTTTGAGTGTGATGTTCGAAATCTACCCATAAGTGACTAGGCTGCCATTGATCATGAAGAGTCCTAGGTTGCTAAAGCGCTTGTGCACTACCGCTAAGTTCCACAAGATGCTAGCCTGTCAATCTCGCCTGATGAAACAACAACAATTTGTTCATGCTTAGGCCAAGAAAATGTTGCAGCGTGGTTTAGATAACTTGTTGAGCTTGATGCTGCTGAAGTAGAGGAGCTAGAGGCCTGTAAGGTTTCTACTTCCGTTACATAGATGCTATGGCTAAGTGCTAGTGCTATGGCTAGCGCTTACAGCTGCAACCTCACATGATGCATACATTGGATATCATGGATATTATGTTCTCCATGTTATCCACGGATATCCCTTTGGCACGACACCACTATATAAGTAGATAGTATTTCCTTAGATAGGAGCTTCGTGCTCAACTCAATATAGTATTCTTTACAATACTGTAACGTGTTACTTGGAAAGCCTTCCTGCCTCCTCTGTCAAGTCAACCTTACGCAAGAAACCTCTGTGTCTTCTATCGTTTAGAAGTCAGCATTACAGTAGAGCTCTGTTTCTTTCGAACCCCTTGCCGCTTCTCCTACATCTTAGGATTGGTAGTTGATGGATGTCGGCATTGATAAACCTCTAACAGACCACGACAAATGTTCTGTGTTGGTCCCTACAAGTTGTCTGTAGGTTCATAACCTTTCCATTAGATCAAAAACTCTTCTTTGCATCCTACTAACCTTCTGTCTAGGATCCCTTCGACTTCATATTCTACAATCTCATTTTCTAGTTGAAGTTCTGTGTCAGTGGCAATCAGGGTGTTTTCTCTTGATAGTTCTAATAACGAGACATGAAATACCGGGTGTAGTCTAGACTTCTTGGGTAGCTGCAGTCTGTAATTAACTAAGCTGACTTTGTTCAATATTTTTTTTGAATGGTCCCAATTTCTTGAAGTCCAACTTCGTACTTGGTCGTTTCATTTTGATATGTTTCCGGAGTAGATATACTTTATCCCCCTCCTTGAAGGCAGGGTCCATACTGCGCTTCTTGTTTGTGTACGCGGCAGATCATTCATTTAAGAATTGGATATCTGTCACATAAGGATGCCTTCTCATCTCTCACTCTAAGGAGCAGACTCTGAGTAGCTGCGGGTCACGTGTGATCATTTGGGCGGGCTAACCAAGTCGGATGGGTTTCGGGTACTTGAGGGAATTGACTCACGGGGTTCCCCCTTCATCTTTTTTGTATCCTTCGTAGTAGACCTATAGGATGGCATCCGTTTAGCCTCTGACTCGCACTCTCATATGCTATTACTGTGAGCTGGGTGCCCTGTGTCGTTACAAGTTGTTCATGGAACAATTTCAGTTGTTCCATGGCGATCATAGCTTGTTCTGCTCTTGATTCATCCAGTCGTGGTTGTCTATATGCCTCTAGCTGATAGCCGTAATTGGCAAAGAATGGAGAGACGTTTGTTGCTTCAGTCATCGCGCTGTTATATGTGTTCCGGCCCAGTCGCGAATAATTCATATTCGCGAATGGGCCAGCCCAACCACGAATATAAACCTCCGCGAGCGGGCCGGCCTATTCGTGAATGGGCCGGCCCAACCGCGAATGATGCCCAACCTATGCGGGGTAATATAGTATAGATATTGTAGATAGATCTATTATATCAACTTCATCAATATGGAAGACCCTACTATTGCACAGATTAATCCATTTCCTTAGAATGTGCGCACTGCTTTTCAAACCTATATTCATAGCTTTAGCTATAGTAATAGAGAGCGGATAGACTACTTAAAATACCGTCAATTACTCCTCTATCTTCAGAACCCATCGATGAAACCTGCAAATCCTATTGAATTACGACTTAAGCATCGTGCGCAAACAGAGTTTATGCTTCTACATAATAAGCTCTACTATAAGCCTACTACTAGATTTCAAAACCCACGATGTGTAATTCTTGAGAGCGATGCATTTGATACTATTATCAATGAACACCTACAACTCCTACACGCAGGCCGTACAAAAACATGGAATATCATACAACAAAAGTTCTATGGACTAAAGAGAGAAGAAGTAGAGTTCATTATAAAGCGGTGTAAGAACTGTACTCTAAATCGACCATCTACTACAAAAGCTCTGTTAGTCCCTATTATAAGTGGGCGAGCGTGGGAGCGGGTTCAAATTGATCTAATTGATATGCGCCATGAGCCTTCAGGGCAATATAAATGGATTCTGCATATAAAGGATCATTTCTCAAAGTATACACAGCTATACCCATTAAAGAGCAAGCACGCAGGGCCAATTGCAGACTGCTTTGCTCAATTTATCGCAGCTTTCTTACCTCCAAAGATTATGCAAGCTGATAATGGAAAGGAATTCAAGGGAGCCCTACTTA